CCCCCAAAAACATCCCAAAATTCTCCATGGACATCTTTGGTGGGATGTCCCCAGCCCCCAGCCCATCCTGGGATACAAAGCAGCCAAATCCCTGGATCAGGCTCAGTATTTCCTGGGAAAAGAGGGGGGAAAATAAATCTTCTCCTACATCCTGAAAAAGTGATTTCCTTCCCAGTTCTGCAGAAAATTCCAGCAGGTCTGGAAAAATCCATCTCAGAGGACAAAGATGGAGATGTCCTACACCAAGCCCTGCTTCTCCTTGGATCCGAGCTCAGGCCTGGATTTTTGATGGAACCCTGGAAAATCCAGCTCCAGACTCTGGGAATTTCCTGGGATGGTTTTGCTTGAATTCGTGATATTCCCTCAAAACTACTGGTGGCTTTCTCAGATCCAAACCCCAGATTTGCCTCCTCAAATCCAAACCCCCCAAATTTTACCTCCTCAGATCCAAACCCCAGATTTGTCTCCTCAAATCCAAACCCTCCCAATTTTACCTCCCCAAATCCCCCCTGGTTTTCCCGGATAATTTCCTTGCCGAGTCCTGCAGACAACTCTGAGCAGATCCGAACAAAAATTACTGAAATAAAGTCAATTTTCAGCCAATGAGAAGGATTTTTTTGGATGTGCCATTGAGGCCTCTGGGCCCAGCATTCCAAAACCAGAGACCACCGGGGATTCTAAAGATGATTCCAGGAAGATTTTCCCGGTTTGGATGTGACCGGAGGATCCCAGACTGGTTTGGGTTGGGAGGAACCTTAAATCCTGTCTCACCCCACCCCTGCCGTGGGCTGGGACAGCTCCCACTGTCCCCAGCTGGACAGAACATTCCATGGAAATTCCCTGAGCGACCAAACTCCACAGACTGAAGAAACTCCAAAGAATTCCCACTCTGGGAAGCTTCTGCCCCACTGTGAGGTCTGGAGGAGCACCCCAGGAAAAGCAGGAACGGTTTCTCCAGAGGAGCCACGCCTGCTCCCGTCTCCCCAGAGCATTCCCAAATTCATCAAAGCCTCCCCACGCCCTGCGGGGAATTCCAAAAGGAGCCCGACCCGTTCCGTGGCCGGATTTTCGCCTCCACCACGTGCCCGGGGCGCTTCCGAGCGTTCCCGATGCCAGGGAACCTCCAAATCCCTCTTGTTCCACGCCTGGTGGCACCTCCCGGGGAATGGATCCCTGTCCCATCCCCACATCCCATCCAGAAGCAATTCTGGGGGGTTTGATCCCCATTCCAGCTTCACTTCCCACCCTGAGGCATCTCCAGGGGGTTGGATCCCAATCCCAACCCACTTCCCACCCAGAGGCACCTCTGGGGGGTTTGAACTCCATCCCAACCCTGCTTGCCACCTGGAGGCATCTCCAGGGGGTTTGATCCCCATTCCATCCCCACTTCTCACCTGGAGGCATCTCCAGGGGGTTGGATCCCCATTCCAGCCCCACTTCCCATGGCACCTCGGGGGGTTTGATCCCCATCCCAACCCTGCTTCCCACCCTGAGGCATCTCCAGGGGGTTTGATCTCCATCCCAATCCTGCTTCCCACCAGGAGGCATCTCCAGGGGGTTTGATCCCAATCCCAACCCCACTTCCCACCAGGAGGCATCTCCAGGGGGTTGGATCCCCATTCCAGCCCCGCTTCCCATGGCACCTCGGGGGGTTTGATCCCCATCCCAATCCTGCTTCCCACC